TTCCAGGATTCTATTAATATAACGGATCATGTTAAGATATTACAAAAGAAAAGCCATACAATAGACCTCATAAATGTATTTATGCCCATGCCCAATGGTACAAGCAATTCAGTTGTCATTAAGTCCTTTGTAGCCATTGCTATATTATGTCAAGATCATCCGATGTGTCATGGCAATATTCCTAGCAAGAAATGGAAATTAGACATATGTAGACTAGAAATAAGACACATTTTAAAATAAGTGAATGTAATGAAACCTTGGAGCAATTTACGTAGGAATGTATATATCCATCCTGTCAAGACTTAATATCAAGATTGAAATGTGTCTAAAATATATGCTCTATATCGGGGTGGAACCTTTTTTGGATTGGGGACCTCTGATCCACAGGGAGGAAAAAAAAAGTTGGAGGCTGCAAAAAAAGTGAAAAGCAGGGGGAAAAAACACCCCAAAATCCACACCAACCCTGATGTGGCCCCTGACTAAGAAGCAGAAAGAAACTCTCCACATTCCCTTCACACATCAGAGCCTAGAAGAGCCCTGACTAAAAGATTTTGTGGATCACCTTTGTTTCTGGGATGGGGCCAGAAATGAGGGGTTCAGTGTTTGGGAGGAGACTGTCTAAAAGCAGCCTTGGAGTGTGGAGTCTGGGCAGGAAGGAGGGTGCAGGACCATGCTAGGGGAAGGAGGGCTGGGAAGAAGGTAGGGTGCAGGAGCAGAGAGGGGGTGCGGGTGCTCTATATCAATCATAAATTAGGTGCTTGCTGTACTAATTACCATGTAGAAATCCATGGCCTATGTTTTGTACTAGGGTCACACTAGATGATCATAATGGCCATTTTCTGATCTTAAAATCTATACAACTCAGCTTTTTTGGGAGGGGCGGGGGGGTCCAAACACAGAATCCTATCTTATGAGCTGTTAGTGAGTTTCCTTATGGCTGTAGGACATACATGTTATATGCTATGACATGCTTGAACGGCCCAGACATTCCTTCCAGTAAAAAATAATGGTAATAGAGTGCTTAGGCAAATATAAGTAAAAAACAAATTGGACAACATGCTCCTGTAAAATAGCAAAGAAACACAGATAATCCCCTGGTAAAGTCCAGTGCCATCTGTATTATATTGTGAATAAATCAAATAGATCCAAATGGCTCAGCAGACAGAGAATACATAAAAAAGGGAAGTTGCTACTACAGTATGGAGCATTCGTGCAAATGTTCTGCCTCTTCTAGAAGGAAAGTAGCATGATGATTTTTATATGTGGTAGTGCAATTGCATTTGGAAGTTTTATTATGATAAAACCTGAAATCTATTTGCATTTTAAAGGGAGCTTTTAAACAGGTCATTGTGAAAGAAGACAAACACAGTCTTGGTTTTAATATTAAGAAGTGAGATAGATGGAGGGGGAAAGAGAATGGTAAAGAGAGTGGTGTTGTTCTCCCTTGAATATTGGTCAAGAATATTTAGACTTTTAAGGTTTTGAGCTGATATTTACTGAAAGTAGTGTTTTGGGCTCAGATTATTTTGCTATTTTTTAAAAACATTGAATATCTTGAATGCAGCATTTTGATTGAATGATGCATGGAATTCTAACATTCCTCTTCATCGCAGTGGTCATTATTTGAAGGATGTTTTGATTAAAAAGTTAAGATTCTCATTTTTAGAGCATCAAAAGACTAATGCCTTCAAGAGGCTAAATGTAAGAAATAGTTATTTTTTTAAAGGCCCAATGAGCTCATAAAGGAAATAAATACGGATTGAAAATGAATATTCCCTCAATATTAGGAAGGAACATAACTGTCATAGAAACAAAGCTGTATATGGAAATTATGCTTTCTGATAGGTCAATGTTCAAATAACTCAGACATAAATTAAGCTTGGAGTATATATAAAAGTACCGGTAGATATAATCAGGATACACACTTGCAAAAGTTACATGGTAAACTCTATATATTCTTTTCTACATTTTCATAGTCAGAGGAAAGTTACACATAGGTATGCGTTCTTAGAATTATTCAGTCAACTTGCCTTTCTTTCTGTTTCATGATCCATCTACAAGCAGATTCCAATACATTCAAGTTTTTTTCATAAAAATACTTCCAAGCATAAATTTGGGGATTTCTTATGGTTTGCATACTTCTCAAATTGGGTATATTAGAAGTAAATATATAAAGCCAGAGCCTAAAATGGTCAGACCTTCTGAATCAATGGAGCTATTCCAATTCATCCAAGTGTGGAGTTGGCTTATGAATCTCAGTCCATACTAACATTTATCTGAAATATACTACATGTCTACATTAATCCCATTTTAAGGTTGTGAAGCCAAGTTTGACTGGCAGGTTTTCACTAAAGGAACCGTTATTCAATAATGCATTTTAATCTCATCTTTCAGCGTGTGGCCCTATGTTTACTGCATGCAAAATTATTGATTTCCTGATCAGCTTGTCTAAGATACTACAGTGAAGAGTGCTTCACAAACATTAATTATCCCTATCAGATGAGACAATAATTGTTGTTACATTGTTTTCACTAAAGACCAACCCAGGGTTACACACGTTGTTTTTATTAAATGCTGCTGTTAAATGGAAAAGGGATTGTACCTGATCCACACATACATGCATACACTATGATTCTATGATATGAGAACACTAGAATTGGAAGGGACCTCGAGAGGTCATCGAAGTCCAGTCCCTGGCCCTCATGGCAGGACTCAGTACCATCTAGACCATCCCTGATAGATATCTATCTAACCTTCTCTTAAATATCTCCAGAGATGGAGATTCCACAACCTCCCTAGGCAACTTATTCCAGTGCTTACAACCAAACAAACCCTGTCTTGCTTTTTCTTAAAGTTACCGGTCTGTTGGGCACATTAACTCATTGGCCAAGAAAGTTAAATGTGAATGGGAGGAGGGAGGGTGGGCGTGTCTCGGTCTGGACCAATGCTCTAATCTTGACAAGATGAGATCCGGAGATTCATGCAAGGCATCCCATCTTTTATAGGAGTTTTTTCCCATTCAAATCTATACATTTTGCTGCATCAGTTCTTAATCAATCACCATCCATTCTGTTTAACATCTGTTTATCTGGGAGTTATTCTTTACTCTGACATTGGTATGTTGGTGGTTCCTTCTCGGTGTTATTTCGATGCTGTCTTGTTTGTAAAAGGGTGCTTGCTTTTAACGCTCCAAGGTCATCCGTAATGTCCTGCATCTGCTTTAATCTGCTAGATCTGTTTGGTATATGGCTCACTCTTGTGTTTAAAAATTAGACATGTGGAATAGGGAATATTTTATAATTTTTAAATGTCAATGGAAAGCCATCAAGGGTAATTCTTCTCCTAGGAGGTCTCAATTGCTGGGCAATCATATGCAAATAGCCTTTTGTCTTTAACAGTGGTGACTCCCCATGCAATAAGGGAATTCTTTAAAAAGAATAGGAGGGTAGGAGTCTTTTGTCTTTGGCTGGCTGGACACACCCAAGGAGGGTGAACCAGAGATCCCAGGGAAAGGGAGATGACCCCTGTTTGAAGGTTCAGCTGGAACAGAAAAAGTTTTAGGGTGAATTTGTGATAACTTGGGCTGAGGATTTTAATGTTAATATTAGCTAAGTGTTTTTTGTTACTTTTGATTTGTAATCTACTTTGCTTTGCCTGTTCTCACTTATTACCATTTAAATCCTACTGCTCGTACTTAATAAAATCACTTTTATTTACTATCAAGCCCAGTGTAAATAATTATTACTGGGGGAGCAATCAGTGTGTACAGTCTCCCTTTCATTGCTAGAGAAGGCTTACCCAAATAACTCATTGTAGATTTTGATACAATTTGGGGAGTGATATCCCAGGAAGCTGGGCCCAAAACTGCACTCTTCTTGGTTCTGAAGAGGTTCAGTGTCCGTACTGCTTCTCGGGTGGGGGTGGGGCAGTGATCTCAGTTTGGTGCATTGGTTGGGGAAGACCAGCAGAGCTGGTCCAGCAGAACCAGATGGTAAGGAGCCCCATAGAGTATGGAGTCGAGGCACCCCCAAAAGGTCATCTGTGACCTCACCCCATCACCCCTCCCAAATCCCCTTGTCTTCCAGACATCATCTCTTCCTAAATCCAAGTCTTAGCTTCTCTTATTCCATTCCTCATCCCCAGCCTTCCAGATTGTAGAAATTGCCAAATACCCCCCCCCCACACACACACACTTCAACAGTTTCAAAAATCTCGTAGAATTTCTTCTCATGCCTACAAGTGCTAGGTACTAAGGTACTAGACCTTTCATGTCAACTACTGCATATCTTTCTTTTTGGTTTCCTTGCTCTCCACTTCACGCCTTCATTCCATCAAAAACACTACCAATCACTTAATTATCCTTGCTGTATTTCCTAAATAAAGTCAATAAGTGCTGATCCACTTTAGATATGAAAGGGGCCCAGTATAAAGCAAGAAGTAGAAACTGTCTTGTAGGAATGTTTTCTCATGAATTAGTCATCAGGCATACATTTGTTCAATGTATTTGTCTGCCTTATTTAAATTTTAAACTCTGAGTCAGAATTACATCTTCATCCTGTATTTCAAACACAGAGAGAACATAGGTATTTTAGCACTCAATATTCCATTTTTATATTTTCTAATTAACAACTGGTTAATGAAAGTCTGTATTCAGCATACACTTCCACCTGACCACATCAGGAGTTAAATATTGCTCTCTTCAGATCAATAGAAGAGAAACAATAAAGTAGTAATGCCTTGAACTGTGACCAGGAGAATGCAAATTTGAGATTCATCAACATTTTTTAAAAGATTAGTGTGGAACAACTTGATAAATAGCAGTGAATAAACTAGATAACTGAAGAGGGTGATATTTCCTTCTCTTGTGCTATTGTTTGTACTTTCCAGGTTTGACAGTTCAAAGCACTTTCCTGTAACCTTTCTGCTTACAAGAACTGTTCTAAAATTTATCATGCATTAAAGCTGTGTGAATAAGGATAACAGTAGAATACATGTCATACCTCAAGACCAACAATGAGTTGCAGTGGAAGAGATGAGTGAATGGATCTGTGGGAACTCAAAACCATCAGTGTGTAGGTTCTGTGCTTTCAGGCCAATTTTTTTTTCCAGTTGACCTTGGCTCTCTGATATTCTGGATGAAAATGTGGACAGATGGGTCATGTTCACAGAAAGCTCTCATCTGAAAGACAGGTGGATTTGGAAAGAATGTGTGGAGAGAAAATGAACCAGAGGCTCTGAGGCAAGAGTCCTTGAGGCCTAAGATGAAGAACCTTAACTTGAATTTCTTGCTCCATTTTACTATATACATAATACTTTCACATTTAACATTTCAGTCCTGTCCATATTCTCCCTATAGACTTCTGGAACTCGATTCTCAGTTACTTCATTCAGAGCATAAAGTGAGGACAGAGGGAGAATATCTTTCTGTGACTGTTGCCTTTGACGTGTTCTGTGAGTGTGCTGGAGCTGACCCAAATCTATTCTAAACTAGAGCAGATTTTGGGCTGCTGTCACTTGTATTCTCCTCCCCAAAGCCTCATAAAGTAGTGGCCAATAGCATAGTGCTCTCTAATCTCATGCCTGACAAGGCCCCTATGGAAGGATAGTAGAGCCTTCCCCCTGTTTTACACTTTAATATCCCTTCTTGTGACCAGCATGGTGTAAAAGAGCCTTATAACTGAGGATTAGGTCTTTAATGCCCACAAAAAATAGCACATACTTTAATTGGTGCTGAACGAACATTTAGTGCTTCACAGTTGGTTTAGAAAAGTATTCACATCTGGATGGTTGTCCAAGCTAACTCATCTTTTAAAAGTGCCCTTCCCTCTCCCAACTCCAATAATCTTCCGTCTAAAAATTCCCATCAGTAAGAAAATGGAAAGATATCAAGCTCAATAAGAATGTTTATTTGTGCTTCAATAGAGTAGAGGGAAGAGGAGGATACTTACCTTATTGAAACTAATTTTCTCATCCCTAAATTCTTATTATGTGCATAAGTAGTTACACAAAATACATCAGTGCATTTAGGAAAAGAAAAGGTGAACAGTGCTTTATCAAAGAGGAATTTTTTAATGACCTCTTCTAGTCTTTCATGGTTGCTGCTATCTTAAAGCCATCTTACAGTATTTTCAGCAATATATAAACAGTTTCTTTTCTGAAAATGGTATATTTTTTCTCTTTTGCTCTTAAATCAAACTTGCTGATGAAGGAAGATGCAAATATTTTGCTTTTAGAACAGATCGGAAGTCAGTCTTTATACAAAAGCAAGACTCTCAGCAATCTACACAAAGCTGTAAAAAGCTTTCTTCAATTAAATACCTAAAATGGTCAGACAAAGCTTGCCTTCACTTGCATCTGTGCAAACCCTGCTATATTCAGTAAGAGGGACAATTTGGCCCTTCCAAATTTAAGTGAGAGGGGTTTATACAAGGAGAAAGGAAGGAAGGATAAATTGATTTCATTCTCATGTATGCTTATTTTCCATCTGTGTAACTTCAATGCGCTGACAAGATTTCTGTCTGAGCCAGTGAGATCAAATTCTTGACCACTAACAGTAGATGGATCCTGAAACCTCTACATTTCCTACCTGTTCATTGATGTTCAGGCCCAGTGTTGGTTCATCATGCTTAGCCAAAGTTCCAGATCTAGAAGCTACTTCACATTTGAAATTCCTTCATTGTTTGGGATGCGTTGGATCACAGAAATCCCCCGGTGTGCTGATCAAACCACTGATGCACGCTCTCCTGCTCTGCTGGGCCAGAAACTCTAGTCTCCCTCAGCGAAGGCATAGAGTTGAGGCTACCACACCCCTACAGATAAACAAAGATATTGAACCAGCTCAGCCCTGGAAAGACTTAACTTTAAGGTCACTGATAGCAACCAGGAAACCAGCCTCCAAAAGGGGAAAAAAACCTCAGATAAATCACTCTTTCTCTGTGTAAACTTTTTACACAGAGAAAGCTCAAAAGCTCTTTATTAATGAGAAATGTACAGTGGTTGCCCCTTCATACCGTGCTCTTCCCCCCTCCCCCCATTAGTCATTGTTTACTCTGGGCTTGATGATAAACAAATGTTTTATTAAGTGTACAAACTAATTGAAAACAAATAGATCAAAGTAAATTACTAAATCAAAATAAACAAAACATACCACATAATCCTAATCTATTAAGGAATGTGTTACATGCAAATTCTTACCTTGAACAATTCTTCTCAAGACAGAGTTGATTTTTCTTACTTGAGTCCAGCAACTTTGCCTTCACTCCTATGCTACCGTTCCTTGTTTTCAGGTTTCTTCATATGTATCCTTTTAGGATGGGTAAAACCATTTTTAAGGCTTTCCATTCCTTAAATACGTAGACTTTCTCCCAGTATGGGGACCTTTTGTTTAGTCTCCCTACCACTATGGAAAAGTACTAGACTCAAGAAGGACTCTACTACCAGGTGGCATGGTCACATGTCTTTCTAGGAGTTTGGGATTAGAGGAAAATAAAACCATTAGTTTGAGTTGTGAGCCTTTAAATTCCTAAAGTATCATTAATGGCCCTTTAGAATTAAAACCAGATTCACACTTCATATTTCTAACTTGTCAAACAAGAATGATATGTACACAAAAATAGGATTGTAACTTTAAAAATGTCTTCAAATTATGCTTATTAATTTTTATTAAACATGAAGACACAGTGTTTAGATATCCGGCTTTGGTTCATGCTCATCTCTACAGATGGAGCAAACATGATTTCCTTAATATTTGATTATTGGATCTGGAGACATGTTGAGCATCTACAGCTCTGAAGTCAGAGTGTTGCAAGACTACATGAGTGAAAACTCAAAAGGAACAATTCATTGTTGCCCTGTACCTTTCATGGTCACTTAAACCAATAGAAAATGCTAGATCAGAAAGGTGCTACTTTATGCTCATTTTGTACTGGTCTAAATGGTATGCAAATGAAAGTGCAGGGCAGTGGTGAATCAGGCCCAACACGAGCAGTAGCAAAACATCAGGCAAGAAGAAGCAAAAGAAACCCGTAAGAGTTCTGTCTTTGAAACTGTGCAAACATTTAATGTGTATGCAATATTTTTAAATGGTAATTTTCTCTTCACTGTTATTACAGTCCTTGAAAATGAATGACAATCTACCACCTTCAAAATTGTTCTCTAAATAATAATTGCATATTTGTATGAATCCTTAATATGCTGAATGGTATAATTGCTAAAACCCAATAGAAAAATTATCTAACATATTCCTGAACAAATATAATGACTGCTGTTTGGAAAAAGAGTATCCCACTAATGGTACTAATTGCATACCTATTACAGCCTTGCCTGCCAAGACAATGAGGAAAATTGTATATGGGCTACTCTTAAGTAATATATTGTCTAACAATATGCTTTCCTGTCCATCATATTTTTTGCTCAAAAGTAGAGTGCAAATTAGTCACACTCTTTTATCTAAAATGTTTTTCAATCACTGGAAGTTTTTAAGTATTCTGTGAGCAAGCTTTTTTATTTTCTGTAGTGCCATATGTTTCTTGTTATTTGTCTTGTGAATATTTTTACTTCTATGTAAATATTTTTGAAAATATCAACTTAAAAACAAAATAAAAATACTGTTCTATCACATATGTAATTTAGTTTAATTTTTTTCACTTTATTTAATATAGCCATTGCTATCTGAAAGTGATTTATTGTCCACCAGAGGCTTCCCCTTCAGATGGTGTATAAAATGTGCACAAGGTCTATCATAAATTGTCAAGATTAATTTCATTAAAATTAATCCACCGGCAGAATGTTTACAAATGCAATAAATTTTTGAATGGATTAGTGACGGTACGTTTTAAGCATGTTATGTTGTCATAACCTCAATAATAATAGAGAACACATTTTATTGGAAAAATAGTGTTACAGGTTTTGTTGAACTAAACAATTGAACTATTGAACTAAACAATTCACGCCTACATTTTCAAACCATAGCTGTTAGCCATACATATCCCAAACTCTTAGCGGGTCTTTGATGTACTGCCGCATATATTTGGCTTTGGCATAAAGGTTCTGTAACCACGATTAGGTGATCAGATATGGAGTGGTTGGGAGGTGAGTGCATAGGGAAATAGATAGATTAAGGCGTCATTGCCCAACAACTAGTACACAATGATTTCTTTGACGGCCAGCCTGGAGGTAGGATCAGGGCCTCATTTTTTTACAGCTTCCAGTAACAGCAGATGATGATGTTAAATTTTGCCAAATATCACCTTTCAATTGTCACCTTATTTCAGTGGTTCACAACTGAGAATACCAGATTCAGGACAGACTCCTGAGAAATAGGACAGATTCACCCCATACTTTTGGTTATCCTACCATTAGACACTTCAAAACAGTAACAAAAGTAAACTCTCTCACTAAACTGATTAAGAAGAAAAAAAATGCATTATTCCAGTACTTATTTCACCACCCAGACACTGGGACTTTATGAAAAGTGGTAATTGAAAACCAATTTAATAGACGAGGTCAATATATAACTCAGATCTTACCTAATAATCTTGCTGTTGTCAATCTGTTTAGCAATTAAAATATAAGACTATTTATAAGACTAAATAAGAGGATTAAATTGGGTAAAGAAACCATATATGTACAAGTTATCAGAATAGAAGCAGTGATGAAGTAAAATGCCAATTTTTAAATGTCTCTGGAAATTACCCAAACAGCTTGTGAGTCATTGGTCCTTGTTTACTGTTTTTTAGTAAACGGGGCCAAATCGGGGGAAAAACCCCACTTTCGCAAGACCCCTTATTCCTCATAAATTGAGGTTTACAGGGTCTTGCAAAAGAGGGATCTTTTCCCAATATGTGGCCCATCTACATGGGGCCAAATATTGGCAAAACCTCTTCCGCAAAAAGAATTGGAAGAAGATATGTAAATATGAGCACGATTTGCATATCATCTTTAGAAAAAAAATGGCAGTATAGCCATTGCCACAGAGGCAAGCCACTTCCACTTGGAGGCTAAGATGTCTGCAGGAAGAGCCAACTGGTCACAGAGAGTTTCTTCTGTGGCCATTGTGAGAGTCAATTTCTTTAAGTCATCCACACACACACAAGTCTGGCTTCAATGTAAATTTTATTTGGTGGATGTTGTCCCAGGAACAGAGATTTGAAATGCAATATAGTCAATATTCATGACACTAGATACAATAGATACAAAGATGATATATGCGTATAAACAGGATAATCCTATTTGATTGTAACTTTTCCATCAGTAGTGTACCTGACACTTTGCAGTGGTCTAGCATTGCTACATATGGTCATATTTCAATCCTACAGAATCACAAATAGTTTCTGCTATATTGTGATGCACATTTTAGAGTAGAAAATTTATACTAAAATTTTTACTATAACTTGTATGTAAACATTAACTTATTTTAATTACATTTATGGTGAGATGACTGTCTATGAAGGCATTATTTAACCTCTCTCCACCCTTGCTTCTTTCAGAAGCACCAATATGGCTATTACAGTTTATTTTTAATTTTTGTATAGCCACTATACTGTCAGTTGTTTTCCAGTGGAGAGTGGTGCTGATCTTGTGTAACATAGCAATCAAAGAGCTCTCAAGAATATATTTATAAAATATTGTGTGGGAAGTGGTTTTAAAAAAATGTTTTTGCTCACTTTAAAAATTTACAAGAGTTTATATGTGCCACTAAACTTGAAAGGAATTGAAATTATGTATGTTTTATTAAAATTAAAACAGTTGATGCACCAAAACTGCATTTCTGATGTTCCTGAAATTGCAGGCAAATAGCTTTTTAAGGCGACAAGAATTTAGCATTCCTTTTCCTTGTTGGTTCTGTTCAGACACAATTGCGTAATAGAGGGTTCTTTGCACTCTGATAATGGCAGCTGCTGTGTAAGAATTACCGACAAGGAGAACTAGATGATGAAATAGGAATGAGAGAATATAGCAATGAAATCTATGAGCTATATATCCATGTGCCATGAAAGGAGTAGAATTGCTGGGGCCAATACAGGCCCATGGCTTTTGTGGCAAACAGACAATAGCCTGGGCACAGAATTGTTCTTGATGGTATGGTAGAGTCAAATCAGGTATCTGTCAGTACAGAGGCCACGGAACAACTGTTAAATCATTGACTAACATGGATTAAAAAATTAAAGGAGATCCGCATTTGGGAAATGCCACTATGTTAAATAATATTTATAATTATATTAGAAATCAGGATCTAATTCTGTCTTCAGTTACTAATTTCCATGTTGATATGTGTAACCATGGGTACAATTTGGACAATACTGTTAACTACCCTAAATCTAAGACTAGTGCAATTTTTTAAGAGTAAAAATTTAATTTATTGTGCATTTCACCTGTATGATTCTTACCACATAACTCATACTTCTCTGACTTGAAACAGTTCATAGCACCATTTTAACTCTAGTGACTTCAGTGCAGTTATTTCTGATTTATAATTGGGCAGGTGAAAGGAGTAAAAGGTTCAGTGTTTTATAAAAAAATGGTACCTAACAGTTTTCTGCACTCAGCAGATTTCTGATTAAACATTCTTTTATCCATACCACATAAGTTCTGGGGTTCATTTTATGCATTAGTATAGGCCCTGGAATATATTGGGAGTCTCATATCAATTTTCCTTATAAGGTATTTTTTTCACTTTCTTCCTCCAGCTGATCTGTTTGGAACACGGCCCAAATGTTTCACTATCATTTATTATATTTTATAATATCACACATATATACTAACAAACAGAACAAGAACAAACCACTCCAAGATGACATCATTAAAAAACAGAAGGCTCATATGTACACACCATAATAATAGTCTAAATGTTCTGTAACATATCTTTCTTAATTGCATGTGAACAAGCCTAGAAATGAATGTGTACGGACGTATGCATTGATGCTCTATGGATTTAATTCCATTGCTTCTATTTAAAAACTGTTCTATTTTGGGCATGTATGTGCATAATGATTGTTGCACCAAAAAGATGGGTGGAGAATATGTGGAGAATTTTCTAAAGCTTTATTTTTCCAATGATTTCTCACTAAATTCCCATCAACTTTTCTGTTTGAGTAAGGAGTATAGGAGCAGAACTATAAATATGCATTTCTAATTTTCCAAGAGAAATTGTGAAGGAAGCTTTCATTATGGCTAGGTAAATGTAGATGAGTAAAAGCACCGACTAAGTAACTTTGAAAATTGCATACTGAGTTTGTGTACTGAAAATTGTCATATAATTATATATAGTCATATATATTGGTGTATTGTAAATTTAAGTCTTGCTAGCCTCTATTCACTGACTGTAGTTGCTGAAATGCTTCTAGGCTTTTGAAGTGGGATCTGAAAGAATCTTTGTACGGGAACCTAATTCTTATTGTAATTGTGTCATTGTAAATTGGGGTAACTCTACTGAGGCAAACATGGAGCTACATAGGTATA